AGTGATCACACCATTGTGATTATCTGGGTCATGAAGATCTTTTTTGTACAGTTCTTCTGTGTATTCTTGCCACCTCTTCTTAATATCTTCTGCTTCTGTTAGGTACAACCATTTCTGTCCTTTATTGAGCCCATTTTTGCATGAAATGTTCCCTTCGTATCTCTAATTTTCTTGAAGAGATCTCTAGTCTTTCCCATTCTGTTGTTTTCCTCTATTTCTTTGCATTGGTCACTGAGGAAGGCTTTCTTATCTCTCCTGGCTACTCTTTGGAACTCTGCATTCAAATGGATATATTTTTCCTTTTCTCCTTTGCTTTTCGCTTCTCTTTGTTTCACAGCTATTTGTAAGGCCTCCTCAGACAACCATCTTGCCTTTTTGCATTTCTTTTCCATGGGGATGGTCTTGATCCCTGTCTCTTGTACAATGTCATGAACCTCCATCCATAGTTCATCAGGCTCTCTGTCTATCAGATCTAGTCCTTTAAATCAATTTCTCACTTCCACTGTATAGCCATAAGGGATTTGATTTAGGTCATACCTGAATGGTCTAGTGGTTATCCCTACTGTCTTCAGTTTAAATCTGAATTTGGCAATAAGGAGTTCATGATCTGAGCCACAGTCAGCTCCCAGTTTTGTTTTTACTGACTGTATAGAGCTTCTCCATCTTTGGCTGCAAAGAATATAATCAGTCTGATTTCGGTGTTGACCATCTGGTGATGTCCATGTCCACATGTCTTCTCTTCTCACAAGTCTTCTCTTGTGTTGTTGGAAGAGGGTGTTTGCTATGACCAGTGGGTTCTCTTGGCAAAACTCTATTAGCCTTTGCCCTGCTTCATTCTGTACTCCAAGGCCAAATTTGCCTGTTACTCCAGGTGTTTCTTGACTGAAACAATGAAAAGGACATCTTTTTTTGGGTGTTAGTTCTAAAAGTTCTCTAGGTCTTCATAGAACCATTCAGCTTCTTCAGCATTATTGGTTGAGGCATAGGCTTGGATTACTGTGATATTGAATGGTTTGCCTTGGAAATGAACAGAGATCATTCTGTCATTTTTGACATTGCATCCAAGTACCTCATTTCAGAATCTTCTGTTGACTATGATGGCTACTCCATTTCTTCTAAGGGATTCCTGCCCACAGTAGTAGATATAATGGTCATCTGAGTTACATTCACCCATTCCAGTTCATTTTAGTTTGCTGATTCCTAGAATGTCGACATTCACTCTTGCCATCTCCTGTTTGACCACTTCCAATTTGCCTTGATTCATGGACCTAATATTCCAGGTTCCTATGCAATATTGCTCTTTACAGCATCGGACCTTGCTTCTATCACCAGTCCCATCCACAACTGGGTATTGTTTTTGCTTTGGCTCCATCCCTTCATTCTTTCTGGAGTCATTTCTCCACTGATCTCCAGTAGCATATTGGGCACCTAGCGACCTGGGGAGTTCCTCTTTCAGTATCCTATCATTTTGCCTTCTCATACTGTTCATGGGGTTCTCAAGGCAAGAATACTGAAGTGGTTTGCCATTCCCTTCTCCAGGGGACTTCCCTGATGGTCCAGTGGCTAAGACTCCATGCTCCCAATGCAGGGGGTCCAGGTTCGATCCCCAGTCAGGAAACTAGATCCCACTTGCTGCAACTGAGTTCACATGTTGCAACTAAGACACAGCACAGCCAGATAATACTCTGCATAGAAGTTAAATAAACAGGGTGACAGTATACACCCTTGTTGATTCTTTTCCCAATTTTGAACCAGCCCATTGTTCCATGTCCGTTTCTAACTATTGCTCCTTGTGTGAGTGAAGCCATGGACCCACACAAAAACATGTCCTAAAAGAAATCAGGAGGGAAATTAAAGGCAGTTAATATTCACACAGAGGAGGGTCAGCATGAATACTTGGCAGTCCAGAAGTATACAAGGGGTGAAACTGAACCAGTGGTTGCACACTCAACATATGGAATTTTCCAAGCTGCAGATTAGAAGGGCCCACCATGTTCTATGCATAACTGATGAGTGGAGATACACAACAGGAGCAATCAGATTTAAAAAATCCCTAAATCATAGGGAATCTTGCAAAATGTAAGAAAGAAGAGCCAGAAGACACTGGAGTAATATGTACAGATGACTAAGAAAATAGGGCTGTGCAGAGTCATCCTTAAAACAGACACACAGAAAAATCACCTAATCCATCAAGATAAATTTCTGTTCCATATCTACTCCATCACACTTTCTAATTTACTTCTTCATAGCATTATCATCCATAGCTATCATCCATAGCATTTCTCATCCATTCCTGTTTCATGTTTATTGTCTCCCCTGCTAGAATGTAAGATGCTCGAACAGCAGGGAATGTGTTTCCTGTACATTTAGCTCTTAAAACAAATATTGATTGGCCACTTGAAGTTTTGGAGCTTAAACCTTTTTTTATACAATATTTTATAAGAGGTAGATATTTTCAGTCTAAAGGTATAGGATTTTTAAAAGTTGCCTCATATCAAGTTTTTACCAGAGAAGTGAATCTTATTTATCTACTTTTTGTTGTTGTTGTTATTCAAAAGGTAAGTTTTTTTTTTTTTTTTTAAGGTCTATAGACATGTTATTCAAGATTTTAACCCTGGAGAAGAAATATGAGAAGCACTGTTCTGATTATGTTGCTATTAAAGTATATTCCTTTTTATTTCTTTTTAGAGTTTAAAAACAAAAAACTCTAAAGCAAGAATGCTCTCTTTTTCTAAAAATATGTATGTTTGAATGTATTTCCATCCATTCAAACGGGTGGCTGCTGTGTGGCGGGACTGAGTTAGTTCTTTGGTTTATACACAAAGGTAATGAAGCAGATTGCCTCTCAGGGCTCTTTGTGTGGGGAGGCAGGATAGCCTGGTGGTAAAAACACAGTCTCCAGAGCCGGAACGCCTTGGTCTGAATACTGTATCCCCCAGCACAACAGGAACGTAGTATAATCTCTCTAATTTTCAGATTGTTTTAATGTACTGTGATACTCATGATACTAAACATCTAATCAGTATTTTTATTTAAAAGGCATAAAATGTGAATGAAAATGGAACAAAAGTAAGTGTTCTTCGAAAACCTTGATATAGCAAAGACAGGTTCAATCAGAATTGAGTTGCCCAGAGTCATTTCAAGAATAGCTCTCAAGTCAAAAAAAAAAAAAAAGCACCACAGAGGATATAAACAGAGTAAAAGGAAGAATGTGTCAATAATAAACAAAAGAACCCAACAGGCCTGGAGTCCAGTGCATGAGGCCAAAAACTGAGTAACCTCAGGCAAATCACTAAAATTCTCAACTTAAAGGGTCTTCTCTGTGTGTCTTAAATAGGTTATTCATGGCTCAGTTCAGTTCAGTTCAGTCGCTCAGTTGTGTCCGACTCTTTGCGACCCCATGAACCATAGCACACCAGGCCTCCCTGTCCATCACCAACTCCCAGAGTTTACCCACATCCATGTCCATCGCGTTGGTGATGCCATCCAACCATCTCATCCTCTGTCATCTCCTTATCCTCCTGCCCTCAATCTTTCCCAGCATCAGGGTCTTTTCCAATGACTCAGCTCTCACATCAGGTGGCCAAAGTACTGGAGTTTCAGCTTCAGCATCAGTCCTTCCAATGAACATTCAGGACTGATCTCCTTTGGGATGGACTGGTTTAATCTCCTTGCAGTCCAAGGGGCTCTCAAGAGTCTTCTCCAACACCACAGTTCAAAAGCATCAATTCTTCGGCGCTCAGCTTTCCTCACAGTTCAACTCACATCCATACACGACCACTGGAAAAACCATAGCCTTGACTAGTTGGACCTTTGTTGACAAAGTAATATCTCTGCTTTTCAGTCTGTCATCTAGGTTGGTCATAACTTTCCTTCCAAGGAGTAAGCGTGTCTTAATTTCATGGCTGCAATCACCATCTGCAGTGATTTTGGAGCCCTGTATGGGTTAAACACAAACACGCAAATTAAATTCCTTAGAATAGTGCCTACCATATAATAAGCATTCATAAATACAATATTTGTTTTATTAGTTTTTTAAAAGAGCTTCTCTGATGGCTCAGGCTGTAACGAATCTGCCTGTAATGCAGGACACATGGGTTTGATCCCCGAGTTGGGATGATCCCCTGGAGAAGGAAATGGTTACCCTCTCCAGTATTCTTACCTGGAGAATCCCATGGACAGAGGAGCCCGGTGGGCTGCAGTCCATGGGGTCTCAAAGAGTTGGACACGACTGAGCGACTAACACTTTCACTTTAAAAAGAGAGACCGAAATGCAAATGTTGGCGTCCACATATGTGCAGCAGAGGGAAGAGGAATCCTACTGTTTTATGATCAAGTTGAGTGGGTGGATGCATCATAGACTGTGTTTGAATATTAAAACTCTACAATTAATGCCCCTTGTTTAGATTTCATGCTTGCCAAGCATGAAATATCTTCTCCACTGTAAAATTATGAATTAATATTTTGACATTCAAACCAGTCTCTGTCCCACAATAGTCCCATATTAACCAAATGCTCATTAAAATGGGGGGGGGGGGCAGGGTTTTCTAGCTATAGGGGACGCACACTGTCTCGGGCTGAGTGCTAGGTGGTCAGTGAAACAGGCAGTGAAGGCTGCACGGGGTGAACATTTTCACAGCTGGACATGAAGAGTTAGAGTCCCTGACAGCTTTGAGATACAGCCTCTTATGTAATATCTGCAGGAACCCAGGTCAGTTCATTATTGGACCCATTCTTGTAGAGGCTTTAATGATTTCCAGAGAGCTCTCAATATATTTAATTAGCCATGCTTAAACACTTGTCTTCATTAACCTGGGATATGTCACCAGTAGTTGTGGAAAGACTTAGTGGATCTCTTGTAATAAAGACAAAAGCGAAAGGAATTTAGTAGCTGAGTATATGTTGCTGCCGCATCATCAAGACTCAGACTATTGCACTGTGGTGTTGCCTGTGGGCGCCCTCTGTGTTACCAGCACTGCCACGTGTCTTTGGCTTCACAGGACACAGCGACGTGGACCAGGAGACAGCGCTGGCGGGCGCGCAGGGCTTCCTGGGCTGTCTGTCTGCTGTGCAGGTCGGCCACGTGGCTCCGCTGAAGGCCGCTCTGCAGCCCCGCCGCCCCGCCCCCATCACTGTCTCAGGACACGTGACGGAGTCCAGCTGCGTGGCCCAGGCTGGCACTGATGCCACATCTAGGGAGAGGACACACTCCTTTGCAGGTGGCGTATGGTTTTCATTTACCCAGTCACAAACGGCACGTCCCCCGAATGTTAAAAGCTTCTGATGTTTCTGTGACGCTGTATTCCCAAAATGATTTCTTTTTCCTTAATTTATTTTTAATTGGAGGATGATGACAATATTGTGTTGGTTGGGCTTCCCCGGTGGCTTAGACGGTAAAGAATCCGCCTGCAGTGCAAGGGACCCAGGTTTGATCTCTGGATTGGGAAGATCCCCTGGAGAAGGGAATGAGGACCCACTCCAGTTTTCTTGCCTGGGGAATTATATGAACAGAGTCTAATGGGCTACAGTCCATGGGGTCGCAGAGCCAGACAAGACTGAGCGACTAACATTTTCACTTTTCCTTGTGTTGGTTTTTCATACATTAACATAAAACAGCCATAGGTATTTGAAATGGATTCTTAAAACTGGTTTTAACCTTCGGTTCTTTCCCATTTCTTTTTTAGATTCTCGATTCTCAATTCGTTATTTATATGGGCCATTTCATGTGGGTATTGCATAAGTTTACAGTTACAGACATCCCACATTGACCTCTATAATTCTGTTCTGATTTAAACTGTTTATGAATTTTTAAAAAGTCTTCTTTTTACTATCCTGTATCACCCCATTCCCCTCTTTTTTGTCCTTTAATGTAGATCATTCTGGAACAAGAGATGACAGAGAACCCCTCACTAATACAATCAAAAGTGACTCTGCAGTCATTGGAGGTAACAGAAAGCATGAGTGAGCTCTTCTTCAGTACTTAATATCATTGCTAATAATAGTGAATATTTAGCATCATAGACACTATCTATAGGGCTGCTGGTAAAGAATCCGCCTGCCAGAGTAGGAGATGCAGGTTTTATCCCTGGGTGGAGAAGATTCCCTGGAGAAGGAAATGGCAACCCACTCCAGTATTATTGCCTGGGAGATTCCATGGACAGAGGAGCCTGGCGAGCTACAGTCCATGGGGTCCCTAAAGAGTCGGACGCTGAGCCCAGAGTACATGAAGAATTTATACATGTCCCAAGAGTTATCAGTGAATCCTGAGGTCAGGAAGGTGGTTTATTATTTGTATTGGATTGTCATATAGTCTTCCTAAATTTGCAGCTTCCTTGGAGATTTCCAGTATAAATAATTGATAATTTCACTGAAATACCACACTTAAGTATGAGTATTAGATATTCATTAGGACATAGTACCAATAATGAATATCATTTAGCTTTATAATGGCCATCTGCACTCCCTAGGGTGTTCTGATTGTATTTGAGGACTTGTCATTTTTTGGTTTCTTGGACACATCACTGCTTCTGCAAGAATTTATGTAACAAGTTGGAAAATGCTGAGATGAACATTAAAAGCATGTGTTTATTGTTGCCTTAATGCTTAATAAAGTGGATTATTTTCATGGTTTAGATGCTCCTATCAATGAATATTACAGTTGTATTTGCATTTTATCAAATACTAAGCTAATGGAATAAAAGTAGTTTATTACTTATTTTAAATTGCAAAATTAGCACCAAAAGATTTAAATATATCTTCCTGGTGGTAGAGCAGCATATTCTCTGAGACATAACTTATTCAAAACCAAGCCCCCACAGAAACCTTTTCCTTCCTGATTAATGTTTTTAAGAATATTATTAATCAGATTATTGAAATGTTAAATGGCTCACCTTTTCTCCATATTCTGCAAATGATATAGAAAGTAAACAATTATTTTGTTATATTGATTAGACATATACTTAAGCAGCTTATGTGGGCTTATAACTGATGCATTTGGTTCTCTACTTTAACACCCTCACTTATGTAGACATCAGCTTGCTTTAAGTACTTAGAATTTTATTTAGACAGAGAACAGTACTGATCAAAATTTGTGAGAATATTAAAATCCCCATTGCTTTTTCAGTTGTTTTATTTTTTGTCAAATTAATGGTATATAAATTAAAGATGCATAAAATAGACTCCTCATTTAGTCATGTAACAAGTGAGAAATAAACACTAAAACCCTGTTAGAAGAGTAGTTAAAATCTGCATGTCTAAAATAAATATACTAATATAGCATTAGAACATTAAATAGTAAAAACTCTAAATTTAAAATTATACCATCTATCAATACAATGCGCTCAACATTTCAAATTGGGACTCCTCGTCAAACAAATTGTCTCAGTCTCATAATGAAGAGGAAAAGTTAAAATTTTCCATAACCTCCTGCTTGTTCTGTCTCTGTAACTCAGCTTGCCCCTTGGATCACGTTTGGATCACGTAGGTCACATAGTCTTGGAAAGTGGGGACTTACAATACTAGGAACTGGAGCTTATCTCACTCACCCTTGTCCTGCTCTTTGCAATTGCCCAGCCCCTGCAAACCTGCTTAATCATTCCTGTCCCTGTAAAGGTCAGGCATTCCCCTCCCCGTCTTGATCTCTATTCCCACGCATACAAAACCCCCTAGTTTAAACCAGCCTATTGGCATCTAATGTTGCCCACTATAGTCTGCCTGTAAAAACTTCATAACCCCTTTGTTCTGGGCTCAGAGCTTGGAGTGTTAACTCCTCTGGGCTCGGAGGCGTAATAAACCTGAATTCTCCAACTCTCCAGGTGTGGTGCTTGGTTTCTGCAACAATAATGGTGCTTTTACTGTATATTTTCTATACATGGATAAATACAGTATGAATATAGGGAGATGCAGATACAGAGTTATTGTGTAGTCATGCCAATGTTAGAGCAAGTATTTAATCTTTTTATCATACCTTTGGGCAAAGATTACTGGCAAGATTTGCAGAGTAAAGGAAGAAGTGTGTTTATAAGTTATTCTGTGTTATTCTAGAATGAAAGCAAGTTGTAGGTTGTGTGTGAAATTCTCACTTGACTCAGAAGCACAGAGCAGAGCAAGACTCTATGGAAGGTTTGCTGCTCAGGGTCTCCCCAGGGCCTCCAGATCCAGTGGCGTCTGCTTTTGATCATGGCAGGGACTGAGCTTCAGAAGCAGAGCAGCAGGTCGTGGCCATTTAAGCTCCAAAGGCCTTGTCTGGGATCACATGCAATTCATCTGCTAAATCACAGAATACCATTCTCTAGCGTGTTTTTCCATCTGCTAGCATTGTGGTAGATTTCTTCACATGTTGTCTCCTTGCTCTTAACTTGCATCCACTGTGTAACATAAGTTAGTCCATTTAAGTATATTTTAGTAGGCTAATTCTCCTATTTTTACATTTTAGGCAATCTTTTTCTTGAATTATAAACAGCAAATAAACAGGGTGAGGTGGGGAAACTGATTTAATAAGACATTTAAAACTGGTGACTCAGACACTGGAGAGAGTTTCTGGTCAGACTTCACAGATATGAATGATCAGATTGAGACAGCAAGCTATGTAATTTCATCATAAAAACACATTCACACAGAACTTCAGATAGTAATGTCACAGAATGTAGCAGGTGGTCATATTTCATTTGTAATATCTTTTTTCCTTTCTTTTTTTTTTTCTGGTGTATCATGTTAAATCAAGGTTTTTCTTGGGCATAACAAGCCCTGACATAACATTGTCTCTAATCAGTAAAGTTCAGTTCAGTCACTCAGTCATGTCCAACTCTTTGCAACCCCATGGACTGCAGCATGCCAGGCCTCCTTGTCCATCACCAACTCCTGGAGCTTGTTTAAACTCATGTCCATTGAGTTGGTGATGCCATCCAACCATCTCATCCTCTGTCGCCCCCTTCTCTTCCCCACCTTCAGTCTTTCCCAGCATCAGGGTCTTTTCCAATGAGTCAGTTCTTCGCATCAGGTGGCCAAAGTATATAACACTGTCTCCAATTACAAGAGATAAATCACATGCATGGAGCAAACCCATTCCAGAGCCCATCCGTGATTTTATCTGCAGTCGCCTGCTGTCTCTGTGGGCTTCCCAAGTGGTGCTGGTGATAAAGAATTCACCTGCAGGAGACACAGGAGATGCAGGAGATATAGGTTTGATCCCTGGGTCAGAAAGATCCACTAGAGTAGGAAATGGCACCCCACTCCAGTATTCTTGCTTGGAAAATTATGTGGGCAGAGGAGCCTGGCAGACCACAGTCCATGGGCCTGCAAAGAGTTGGACATGATGGAGCACAACGCAGCAACACAGCCTACTGTCCACCTACTTCATCGACTTTCTACATTGAAATGGTTTACGATCTCTTTCTTTAAACCAGAGGCCTATAACCAAGCAATAGAATACTGATTGCAACTTACTACTTTTCTAAGATGAGAAGCAAAATATATGACAACAAATGGATATTCTGATTTCAATTATTCTTTATTAATATAACAATAATAAAACAATTATATCCTTTAGAAAATTCTTCAGATTTCAATAGAGAATTCACTTATCAGATTTATGTTAGATCTATCAGCAAGGAATTGCTACCCCTCTCAGATAAGGCTGACATAGCCAAAAATCAGCTTAGCCCCTGGCAATATTATTGGCTGTAGTCAATCTGCCCATCAGATCATGTACTCGAGAATCCATTGTGACTGATGAGGACCTTTGAAGTTTCTGCTATCCCTCTCAGATAAGTGTGACATAGCCAAAAATCAGCTTAGCCCCTGGCAATATTATTGGCTGTAGTCAATCTGCCCATCAGATCATGTACTCGAGAATCCATTGTGACTGATGAGGACCTTTGAAGTTTTGGCTTCAGTTGGAGTAATTAGAGTTGTTTACACCTACTTTAAACTAAAGCAAAGAGTCCTTGTTTTATGGTATGAGACTCCATCTACCTTGCTGTTTCCGTTGTACTTATTTTCATCTGAAAACACTACATTAACATAGCCGCTGATTTCAGCAGAAGAGTCTAAGTATGAGGAACTCTCAAACTTGTGACAGACGACAGTTTTCCAAATTCTTTTCATTTGAAAACTTGGCTTTGATCACTGGCATCCTACACTGTCAGTTGTTTATCTTGAAGTGACAGATTTACTTCATTTTAGAGAAAATTTCTGCCAGATATCCAAGTTAAAACAACCACAGTTTATCTGTCAGTCATTCTTTCCAATAAAAACAGTGTTCTTTACAGGAAAAAGCAACTAGTTCAGCTCACAACTCAACTGAAATGTTCACGGTGGCCTTCTTCCGGAGACAGCCATCATACTTCAGTCTGCACTAGAAGTATCAGTACTTTACAAATACTTTCCATTTCATCACACAAAATGTTAGAAAGTCTTATGGCCAAAGGTCACAATTTGGCAAAATGTGTAATTTTTAGTGCTTCATCAAGGGCATTCTTAAATGAAGCTGGCAGTGCAGTGCCTGCTTACTTTATGAATTCAGTGACCACTTTCAAATGTTGGTGACCTTGCCTTAGTTCATGTTAAGGTACCAGGAACTTTACCTGACCTTGCTTTTGTTCTCTCAGTGGACATGTCAACATGGTGAAAAAGGCATCTTAGAGTTATTATGGATAGTTTTGACCCTATGGGCCTCCTCAAAGTGTTCCAGGAACCATCAAGGATTCAGACATCTCACTTTGAAGATAACTGACTTAACGTAACACCAGAATTGGTAACCATTTAGCATAGCTAACCACTGTGGTATTTAAATTTTTTATTTACAATCAGATGTCTCAAAAAATCAATATTCTTCATATAGACATAATCTCATCTATGTATCAGGATCGATATATTTCATAGTCAGGATTGTTCATATAAAACTTGTTCTTGCTATTTAGGGATACAACAAATTATTGATAACCAGCCTCATTAAAATGTTAACATTTAAGGGGATAAATTAAGAGATTGGGATCAATATATACACACTACTATATGTAAAATAGATAACCAACAAGGACCTATTGTATAGCACAGGGTCTTTACTCAATATTTTGTCATAACCTATAAAGGAAAAGAATTTGAAAAATAATAAATATACATGTATGTGTGTGTGTATATATATATATACATATATATATATGTATAATGGAATCATGCTATACACCTTAAACTAACACAACATTGTAAATCAACTAAAGTTCAGTTTTAAAATGTTCACATATTTAAGTATTAAAAACACATTTGATTATTTTATGATGTTACTACTACTATATAGTTTCAAAATAACTAAGCTTGTCTAGGTATTAATATGAAGTGACCCATGGACTTAGAGACATGTAGGTAATATGTTATTAAAAATTACGTATACAAATACACTAAATAATCCATATACTATACATTCAGAATAAATGAAGGTGAGCCCATAAGGCTGACAGAACTCAGAAGTAAACTCAACATATTTTGATACTACTTGATCCAGAAATGCCTGAGGTTTTTGATATTTCCAACTTACATATATCTGATGCTTGATTTTGGTAGAAAATAATTTTATTATGACTTCTTAAACAATGAAGTCTATACAGTTTCTATTTGGACAACGGTTCTGATTTTGTGTTTCTTTTCTCTTCTTTCACTAGGTTTGATAGCTGTTGTGATCTTTATCTTGCTGTGCATCACTGCCATAGCTGTCCGCATTTATCAGCAGAAAAGGTTATACAAAAGAAATGAGGCAAAAAGGTCAGAGAATGTAGACAATGCTGAGGCTGTTTTGAAAAGTGAGCTTAATATACAAAATGCAGTCGGTGAAAATCAGAAAGAGTACTTCTTCTGATTGGCAGAGATGATTTGCCATATAATTACAGTAGCCTGATTTAATAGCCAGGGGCTCTCAAAGAACAAAAAACAAGTTCTTACACTGAATGTACAGGCGATGGATTTGCAGCACTGCCGTGTGGCCATATCCAGACGAGAGATGGCTTCAGGAGGCCTCATCCATTGACTTATTTCCCCTAGTGGTCATTCTGTATAACAAGGATTAGCTATTGCTGTTAATTTCCAGCCATTCTGATACAATCTAAAACATAAGTTTAACTCACTCGAGAGCTACAGTTTTTCAGTGTGAAAACCGTAGCGCTAGCCTCTCAACCACGTGCTACCTAAGTTGTGTTAGAGGTGAAAATCACAATTGGACTATAATGACCTTGCTTTATTTGAGAACATATGCTGTGTTTGCTTTGGTGTCCCCATGGTGTTATTCATAGACCTGGAAATGCTTCTAAGATCCTGTTTGGCTGGCGTTTGCATCTTCAGTGGCCAAAAGTATATAAACCCCTCTGCCTTTCTCTGTATTGCATTCAATACAATTTATCAATAGTCTGGAAAAATGTTTCTGTTTTCATTGGTTTGTTTGTATTGATCTATTTCGATTTGACTGTTTTTAATGATTTTGAAAACATTAGGTTTTGCGTGTCAGGCTCCAGCTCTGAACATAAAATTTGTATGTAACAAGACTCAGAAAGTGCATTGGTCATCAGTATGTGATGTTTTGCCTTTAAAACTTTTCTGCTTAATGTTATCATGGTTTGGTATTGGTAGTAGTTAAGAACCTGGTTAATGCCCATTTCCCAAAGAATGTGAAATGCTTACAAGTAAACTTGTTGATAAAAAACACATACACACACAATTCTTAACATTGCAAAGAATTATTTTTTTATTTACAACTGTAATGACTCAAATGAAATGTACTTCTGAGAATATTTCCCCCAAATCCTATGTAAGTTTTCTTTATAGGTTTATAATTCTGTTTTTCTAAACTATATCACCCACTTTTCTTTGATCTCTATTCACTATATACCATGGAGCATCTTCTTATGTATTAGAAAAAAAGAGACAATTTGACATGTAAGCTCCATTCTTCATTCTAAATTATATCCCCCACTTCAGGCATATATTGAGCTATGTACTGATCTCCAGGGCATACTTTTTGGAATATAAGCTTCAATCATGCCCCCTTTTTTTGCAAAACCAGTAGAGTTTTTAAAGTGTGTGCCTTCTAAGGGGTGATGTCATATTATATATCATATTCTAAGTCTATCATTTCAGTTACTTCTCATTTATGATGATGGGTTAAATTTCTCAAAAAGAACCAAAAATCAACATAACTTACTAACTAGTACATTCTGATTAGGAGATATATACATGCCTGAAACTCAAATAATTATCAATCGCTTTATGAAACCATTGCAATAATTACCTTTGAGGCCATGTGAACAAGACGCTTTCATGTAGCTATCTTTGAATTCCACAAGCCAATTATAGTGCAAAGGCACTTTGGCATTTATGCTCATACTTTCCAGGTGTCTGCCAAGGAAAAATTAAATGCTTTAGTTTGTCTGCACCAGAACAATTTGGAAATATGTAAAGTGAACATTTTTTTTCTTTATTTTCCCTCTTAACTCTCCTTATAAAACCTGCTTGTCCTTTCTCATAGCACTGTTTCATTTTGATGTTTCTATAAATGCTTGACTAAATCTTAAGGATATGAATTAACCATGGTTTATGAAAGACCTATATGGATACATGGCATTCTTTTTCTTTGGAGTCCTCTGGTAGCTGCCAAGGGGTTGAACACCAAAATGGCAGTTTTCATTTGCTGCAAAGCTGAATACAGTCTTAACAGTCCTGAATCTTTTACACATGTTCTGGTTATTTAGCAGCAGTATTAGCCTGGTCGGGAGCTGGAAGGTAGACAGGCTTATAGACAGTGAAGCTTCACAGTACTCAGTGGTCTGCACTGCTAGGAACTTTAACATTATGGCATCAAAACCACTGATATGTCATACACCATGACTTTCATTCCCTGATTTGTAATCTGTTCCTTCTTTTTTCTTAATAAAATGCATTTTTGAAGTAAAATGCAGAATATATTTTGAGATGTTGTATAAAAGTTTCAAATGAGGGAATTATACTGGATTTTTTTTTCTCAAAACAGTAAAAAGATGTGTAGATGTATGAGATGTATGCCTTCTTTACTGGTGCTTGTGACTTTTTTAAACTTTTTGGTACACGCCATGATTATTCTGAATTGTTATCAAAAGTTGCATTTATAATGTGCTTTTCATTTTAAGTAGAATCAGAAATGAAAGAAAATATACAAACATGTTTCCTGATTGTAACAAGGAAGTTGAACTGGATTTTACATTTTGCCAGAGAACAACAATTTGACTGGTAGCAGTTGTTTGCTGAAAGGCTACTTTATGTTTAAATTGAGTGATATCCTTTTATTTCTGCAGAGAATTTGGCCAATGAACCCTATATAGATGCATAGGATCGTATGTAAGAATATAGCACACCCTGCTGAAATATTAAAGTTAAAAAATTATTGATTATTTCAAGTGACACAAATGAAAACAATATGTAATTAACATTCTCTTTTGAGAAGACCAAATTTCTCAAATCTCATTAAATTCAAATATGAAATAAAATGGACTTAGCATGACACATGAAATGAGGGTCACGCCTCAGAAAGACATCTTAATTTCATAGAAACTATATCCACTCTAGGAAATAGTTCCATTTGTAAAAATCTTTTCCCCAGTGTTGCTCTTTAAAGCAAATTTAATACATTCTTTAGATAGTAAGTTAAAGACAGTAACCAGAAGAAGAAGAACCCAGACAACAACCAGACAGAAGTTAAGCATTCCAGATTATCTCTCATCAGATGGTATTATCCTTTGTCTATAAAAAAAAAATCCTTTAAACAGAGCCCATCATGCAACTGATGATCACTGGTATATTATTTAGTGTGAACAGCTCAGTTTTACAGATGAAAAGTCTGAGATGCATATATATGAGGTTATATAGTTATATTCCCAAGGGGACATATATTAATAGTACTGTGTGAGGCTGTGACAAGAATTTCATTTTTGCTATACACTTTGCTGATCATTAGTGCCTTCAAGACCTGAAGTTTTGACAGTTATTTAGTGGTATAGAAAATTTGAAGGATCTTTGTTTCCTTTTTGTCCAAAATGACCTGTAGTTCTAGATCTTTTCCATATCCTTTAAAAATGAACATAAACCTTTGTTTGGTAGGTCATGGCCATTGATAGACTTGGTTTTCTTTAAAAAATGTATTTATTAAGCTTATGGTTCTTGACCCTAGGAGAGATATTTTAACTGAAACATAGATAGTCTTTATGAAATACTCAATATGAATTGGATCTGATTGAGTCATTTCAAATGTTTTCCATATGGTAAAAGGTGCCACATCTCATTAAAATATGTTTTATTGATTGACTTCCCAATCCACATATCAACTAAATGATTAATCTAACTAAATAATTCAGTTATACAGATGCATTTAATAAGTCCTGCTCACCTTCTACTTTTCCAAAGTTTGGATAATGGAGAGTGGTAGCAGGGAAGAAAAAATTCAGCAGCTGACTGTGTGTTTGGAATGAATGTGAGTGAGCACATGTGTGTATGCAAGGAAGACTGAGGAGCAAGAAAATATGAACAGTTTTCACATAATTTGGTAAGAGAGTTGGACTTCTGGTCTGTCAGTAACTTCCCCAGAGCGTGGTTTTGACGATTGAAAAATGCAAATAAAGTGGGATGGAAAACTATCTGACCCACAATTATAAGGGCTTTTCTGGGGAAAACGTTTTTTATTATTTTCCCTATTTATAATATTACATTTAAATTTTATTTTAAGATACATGCATATATTTTAAATCTCAAGTAGTACAAGACATCTTCCAAGGGAAAATAGCCCTGCACTGCCATATCCCCTGTCGTATTATGTTCAGCTCCTTCAGCTGTTGCTTTTAAGCTCTCTCCATGTTTCTTAATTACATGCCTAACAGGCTGAGTTCTCTGGGAAAGCAAACTCTTGAGGCAGAGTTTGTCATGAAGGAAATTTAGTAGGGAGTGATATAGAGGTCAACATCTGAGAAAAGAAGATGCGGAGTGGGGCGGATGGAGAGGTTGGTGCCATCACAACAGACTCAGCCCACCCTGTGAATGTGGTCCTTTAAAGAAGTCCTGAATTAAGGAGAGGCTGGGGCATTATAACTCCTGTACTTATCAACACTGAAATTTGAATTTCATGTGATTTCCACTCCAGCGTCATCATATGTTTCTGTTTTGACTTTTTTTTCCCACAATCATTTAAAGGTGTATAAACTATTCTTGGCCGACAGGCCTTACAAACATAAACAGTGAGTTGGATTTGGCCTGCTGTATTTTGCTGATTCCTGCTTTCATTGGGCAGTGGTAAATAAGTATATTTTCCTGCAAGGCAGGAGATGCGGGTTTGATCCCTGGGTCAGGAAGGTCCCCTGGAGAAGGAACTGGCTACCCGCTCCAGTGTTCTTGCTTGGAAAATCCCATGGACAGAGGAGCCTGGTGGGCTACACCCATGCAGTTGCAGGAGCCAGACTCGATTTAGTGACTAAACCCCCGCCACCGCCGTCAGCCAGGCATTGGGTATTGACTGCTTGGTGACCAGGGCATCAACCTGGACAAACAGCTCTCTTCAGCTTGGGTAGTTCCAGAAGGACAGACCTCTGATGAATCTGTTTCTGTTTTGCTACCACACTCCCATTTACTGTATTTTTCTTCATCCAACTAGCCAGATATCCTTCACTCCAGATCCTTTTCGGTTGAATTTTCCTAGAGAGGAACCTGTATTCAGTTATCCTTTAATGCTTCTCTGTGTAAAATGACCTGAGGCCAGGTCACCGTCTGTCCCCATACTTCCTGAGTTAGGTATAGAATGTCTGGTCCATTTCTTTGCATAAATTTGTCTTGCTTTCCTTCTATGGAGGC